AAAATCTTTTAAAAAAATAAAGGGAGCCCTGGCTGGCATAGCTCAGTGGATTGAGTGTGGGCCTGCAAACCACACAATTGCAGTTCGATTCCCAGTCAGGGCACATGCCTGGGTTGCAGGCCAGTTCCCAGCAGGGGACCCACGAGAGGAAACCACACATTGATGCTTCTCTCCTTCTCTCCTTCCCTTCCCCTCTAAAAGATAAATAAATAAAATCTATAAAAGTAAAGGGCGCTGTTGAAGGAGAAGACAGAGTGACTTTGAGGCAGACATTGCCACTTCTTCCAATCACATCGACAAGTCAGTGGTGATTCAGAAACCACTTCTGAAAGTTTGCCAGTCATCAAAAGAGTTCTTTTTATGTCCTTTTTACTCTTCAAAGCTTTCCCACATATAGATTACCCCTTTTGCTCTCCCAAACAAACTGTGAGGCAGGTAGAGTAAGGTAAGCTTGTCCCCACTTACGGATGGACTATGATGCTAAGTCCTGGAGAGGCTAACTGGGTCTCCTAGGGTCACACAGCTAGTTGGTGTCAGCTGGGCAGCAGCAATCCTGGATCCGCAAGCTCCCCCAATAAATGGTTTTTCTCACCACAGAGGCAGTTCTCAAATTCCATCTTCTGGACACTAATGGCTGCATGGCACTTTCCATGAATGTCCCCTTCTCTAATTACCTGCCTAGCTCAGTCCAAGTGACTTCCAGAATATAAGACCCAGCTTTTTCAGCTGACCTTCTCTAATATATAGCAATATTGTTGACATTCTAGCATATACTATTTCTGCTGTAATTGTTTGGAGTGTTTTAAGTGGTATTATATTTGGGCCTGTGCTAAGGGTGCACTTTAAAAATCAAATTAGGAGAAATAGAAAGTCTAAAAGTCCCTAACAGTTAGACCCAAGCCTCCCAAGTGGGGAATAAAAAATCTTTTCATGTACAGCAGGTCCTTGAATAATATCTCATTCAACATCATTTTATTATAATGTTTATAAGATGCTGTAAGAACTTAACTCTTGTGTATATTAATTAGCCTGTAGTAAAATTGGTTTCCTTATCTGTCATTTCAATGAAAGCCATAAAACCTACTGATGGTGTTAAGAGGGACTTATGTATCCTATTCTGTATACTCTAAGCCTTAAACTATTTTGTTCTTTTTTTATGTATTTTTAAAATTTTTTATTATTTTTCAGTTACAGTTGTCCTGTTTCCCCCATTACTCTCCCCTGCCTTACCCACTCCCCTCCAATATTCAGTCCTCCCCTTCATTGTCCATCCCATGTGTCCCCTATTTGTGTTCCTTGACTTGACTCTTCCCCTTCTTTTCCCCATTATCCTTTACCCTGCCCCTCTGGTCACTGTCAGTTTGTTCTTTATTTACATGTCTCTGGTTCTATTTAGCTTGCTTGTGTATTTTGTTAATTAGGTTCCACTTATAGGTGAGATCATATGGTATCTGTCTTTCACCACCTGCTTATTTCACTTAACATAATGCTCTCCAGTTCCATCTATGCTGTTGCAAATGGTAGGAGCTCCTTCTTCCTTTCAGCTGCATAGAATTCCATGGTGTAAATGTACCATAGTTGTTTTTTTTTGTCCACTCATTTACTAATGGGTGCTTTGGCTGTTTCCAGCACTTGGCTATTGTAAATTGTGCTGCTATGAATATTGGGGTGCAGAGGTTCTTTTGAATTGGTGTTTCAGGATTCTTAAGGTTTAATCCCAACAGTGGAATTGCCAGGTCAAAAGGCAGATCGATTTTTAGTTTTCAGAGAAAATTCCATACTGTTTTCCATAGTGGCTGCACCAGTCTGCATTCCCACCAACAGTGCACTAGGGTTCCCTTTTCTCCACATCCTCACCAGCACTTGTTTGTTGATTTGTTTATGATGGCCATTCTGTATTGTTCTTAAACTGCAGTTTCTGTGTCATATTGGGAACCATGACTATCAGACAAAGGAGATGGACATTGCGTGTCGGCAATGAATTCCTCATGGAAGGTTTCATTTAGAAGAAAGTTCATGAGGTTCACCAAGGGGGCGGGGCCACACTGCTCTTGGGTAGCTCAGGGATTGTAGGGCTTCCCCATCACTTCAGCATGAGTTTCATGAAACTGCCCCACAGGTCACAGACCACTGAGTGTCCTTCTAAAGACCCATTTTCTGACTGATGGTGTGGAAACTTCCCAAGTCCTGTTTCTTATTCAAAGCATTTCTGTTTGACAATAATTAATGTTGCTCTCCATGTAGCTTTGCCTGCTTGGACACTACCACCAAAGGACACAGGCTAGCTGTGCTCTCCTTTCTCAAGCACCAGACTGAGTTCTCCACTGCCTCCAGGTTCGAGCCCGAGTCCCTCTGCATGGCCTGTGAGACTCTCCCAGCACAGTCCCAGGCTGCTTTTCTAGCCTTACTCCTGACTCCACCCAGCGTTTCACACCAACTCAATCATTGCCTTTTCCTCACAAACACTCTAAACTCTCCAGCCACATTATTCATTTGTCACTTCTTTCACCCGAGTACTCTGTCCTCTCTCTGCCTATCTGATTCCTGCTCAGTGTGAAAAGTCCAGCTCAAAAACTGTCCTTGCTCCAAATTGTCCTATTTGTATATATTGGCTCTTGAGCAACGCAGATTCGGACACCATGGGTCCACTTATATGGGGCTTTCTTTTCAATCAATACTGTAAATATATCCTCTTTATGATTTTCTTCCTTATTATTTTCTCTAGCTTATTTCATTGTGAGAATACAATATATAATACATATAACATACCAAATATATTTAATGGAGTGTTTGTTACTGGTAAGGTTTCTGGTCAACAGCAGGCTAGTAGTAGTTAAGTTTTAGGAGAGTCTAAAGTTCAGGTGGATTTTCAGTGCCCTTAACCCCCACGCTGTTCAAGGATCAGCGGCTCATGCCTTCACCCCCCTTTTAAATGGTATTACACTGTACTTAAAGCAACCGATTTGTTCATGCTTGATGCTCAGTACACATGGTTGGGTAAGTGGATAGATCTCACATGTCCATACCACTGTCTCATGAGGCAGGAAGGAGGAGGAGGGTCTCGATGTCAGTCGGTGAGTCAGCAGAACATCAGTGAAAGCATCAGCCTTTGTGCAGCCTGCTCTTCGCATCTGGTCCTCTCTTCCCCATTCTGTGACCCAGGGGCCGCAATCGTTTGCCTCAGTCGAATGTGCGTAACCACCATACCAGTGTATAGTGAGAATGTCAGGGAGTTTTTCTTTTAGGACTCCTAAATTTTTGAAATAATAATACTACGTTTTTTTCCTAGATTTTTTTTTTGTTTATTCTTACCAGGTTGTGTGGTTCAGGAGGAGCAAAGGAAAACAAATCCTGGACAAAAAGTCAAGACCCCAAGTGGCAGCTAGAGGCCTGCCCACCTCAATCCCAGGGCGCACTGGCGAGGCAGTGGTAGTGAACAGCTGCGCTTGTTGCTCCCCGGTGCCCTCCCCAACGGTCTGGGTTCCTGAGGTGTGACCGCAGATTGGACCTAATGAAACCCAACCAGCAGGGTCACGGGGCCGCCGGAGCATGAGTCTGCATTTCTCAAGTCAGTGTAACAGAATCTGGGCCGCGCACAGCCCACGGTGGGCCAGAAGGCTATCTGGTAGCCAAGGGCACGGCTGGGGCTGCAGAATAACAGTGCGAGGCTGTAATCGGATGCCATCCCAGGACCTTTAGCCAATTAATCATCTCAATCACCCATCTTTTATTCATAAACAAAAGGAGCGATGTTTTCTTTTCACTGCTCCCTTTGCCCCTTCAGGTTACACCAACAATAGGCTGTCCTTACTTTTTCCTTTTGCCACACAAAATGCACCTGGCATAGTTAGAGCGTCTCATCACCATGGATGTCAATGTGAACACTGGACCCGGTCGGCTCGATCACCATGGCTCCCAGAGGCAACATAGCACTTATAGTTTAAGGGCAAAGCTTTAAGTGGTTCTTCAAACCTCATTAGGACTGTAAAACCAGAGATGTGAGACAAATAACCATGTAATCTGAGGCAGGAGCAAGCCTTACTACCCAGTAGCCCTTATTGTTTTTTCAATTATCCATTTTATTTCAGCCTTGAAGAAGTTTTAAAGTCATAGAGTCTTTTGTGTCTTAAATGTTAAAAATTCTCAGCAGTAGCAAATTCGGCAAACTTACTCCTGCTGGGGCCCACCCACGGTGTGAGGCCACTCCACCCTGAAGGCTGTCCTGTCCCCACAAGGCCCACATTCCTTCCTCAGACAGAAGCCTGAGGAAGAGCCTCGAATGTCACGGTGATTAAAGACGGAGGCTTAGGAGTCAGACTTCTGGGCATGGCCCTCACTAGCTACACAGCCTCAGCGATTCTCTCTGGGCCTCAGTTTCCTCATCTGTGACCAGTGAATAGTAATAACAGTACCAACTCACATGATTGGTGTAGTAATTAAGTGGATTAATGTATGGGAGGTCAGTAAATGTTAGCTCTTAGCTGCCCTGTCTTAAATTTAGCCATGAGCCACTGTTTTGGGAATTGTATGAGTCCTGGGAAAATATGGCCTAAGTTCATCTATAATAACAGAGAAAGAACACAAACTATTAATCTTTTTTTTAATGTTCAAGTCTCTAGATAGGTGATTCTCAAAATGTGATCCGGGGACCCCTGCAGATCCCCAAGACCCAAATCCTTAAGGTCCAAAGCGTTATTTTCTTTTACTGAGAAGTAATTGATATAGATCACTGTGTAAGTTCATACAGCACAATGGCTTGATCGAAGCTGTGAAATGATTACCACAGCTACAACCCATATAAACAAATCTCTTTGGGGTGCTCAATCATATTTAATAGTTTAAAGGGATCCTGCAACCAGAAATGCTGGGGGCCTCTGCTTGACCACTCCCAGTCGAAGTCAACCTCCCTACCCATCCCAGTGCAAAAATACCAACTCATGCTTAACTTTGAGACTCTGCCCCCAAAGACAGGCCTCTGAAGCTGCCATTCTGTGTTTCAGGCTGCCTGGGTCCGACTACCCTGGTGACGAGTGGCTGTGGGACAATGAGAAGCATGGCCATCGCCACTCCGTGATCCGAAGAGTCAAGAGATTCCTGAGTGCCCACGAGCACCCCTCCAGCCCCAGGAGCAGAAGCTATGGGAGGCAGGCCAGTGACAGCTCCATGTTCTTCCCCGACAGAGACCTCAGCCCGACCAAGGATCTGCTGAATGTGCCCTCGAGGAGAGCGCACCGCGCCTCCCGGAAGCAGTTATCCCCAGAGGGGAGCCCCAAGCTGTACTCCAGCCTGGGGGAACTGTCTACCATCAGGGAGACCAGCCGGACAAGCACCTTGCAGAGCCTGAGCCCACAGTCCAGTGTGAAGGCCTCCCCCACCAAAATGCCGCAGGTCCCCGAGGTGCTGATCACAGCACCAGGGCCCACGTCAGAGGACCCACACTGGGACTCCACCACCTCCATCCAGAGCTTTGAGTTCACCGGGGTCCAACCAAGCGGCACTGGGCAGCGGGAAGACCCCGTGGGACTAATCCTGTTTCCCTCAGGGGAGGAGGCGCCTCCTCTAGACCCTAGGCCCCAGACTGTTTCAGCCAAAGCTGAGAAGAACATTTTCAAGTTTGTGGCTGAGGAAGACCCTTTTGAGAATGACAAGTTCCCGAAAAGGTGGAGTCTCCCGGAGTTCCTGGAGTCCAGCCACCCCGCCCAGAGAGGCCACAGCCCGGAGCCAAGCCCTGAGCCGCCTCTTTTACTTGACACAGAAACATCCTCAGAGACCAGCGGCATCACCTTTGTGGCTGGCTCTCAGACCTCTCCTGATGTCCCTGCTGACGTGCTGTATTTAATGGAAAACCTGGACACCAAAGAAACGGATATCATAGAATTTAATCACGAGCAAAGGGAGGAAGCTCCCAGAGGAATCCCAGAAAGTTCCAAAGCCTGGTTCTAGTCTAAATTCCTACTTTCCCAAAAGTCCAACCTTAGTTCCAGAACACACCTGTGGGCTGGTTAATTTTTTAAAAAACAATCATACTGCATAAGCTATTTAAAATTTGAAGGGCATTATAATCCTGACTTTTTCAAAACTAATAAAATCAAGCTCTTTCACATCATTTGCCCCAAAGTGGTTTTCATGGGCACTACACAGGCCCCAGTGATCTCTCTTAACCAAATAAGGAATCTTAAATATGTGTATGATTTATAAATTGATAGACTGTGAGCTTTGGAAAGCACCTCGTAGGTCATACCCAATCCCCTAGTTTTGCAAACAGGGAGACAAAGGAGTCCCTATTTGTTTCCTTGTTTTCCTTCTGGCCTTCAATTATAAAGACAGGGAGATGGATCATAAAATGCCTCAAAAGCCTCATTCTAATCATAACAATTTTGTTTGAGGCTTTCTAACCATTTCACTCCCACTCGATCCACTATTATTATCACTCCCATACTCTTAAGCTTCATCAGCATCAGAGAGCTTCATCTCTCTCCAATTTCCTTTTCTACTTTCACAACTTCATTTTTCTCTCTTCCCCTTCCATCTGCCATTCTTTTCTCCTCCCCTTCTTCCTAGTCTTGCTCCTTCTCTAATGACTCATCTGTCCCACCTTGCAAGCTACACCATTTTCTCTTGTCAATTCTGTTGCTTTCTTCTTGGCACGATTTTCAAAATACGAGGCATTGGCAAAGCCTCCAACAGAAAAACCGAGACGTCAGCAAATCCAGCTCAGTATACTTCCAGCCGCATGGTCGGGGGTGTGGGCGCCAGCGCCCTCCCAGCACACCCTCGGCAGCCACAGCCGTTTCCTGCTGCAGCCACTCTAGGTCTGGAACACTGGAGAAAACCGAGGCCAACGTGGGCATGAAACACGTACACCCAAATGCTATGGAACCAAAGAATGACAAAGCTTGAATGTATTTTACTCAAACTCTTAAAGCAAAAATCCAACTATGTCTCAATGTGGGACCAGTGACTGTATCTGCCAGGTTGTTTGGGACAAGATAGGATGTTGGAGCTGGGGGTCTCAGGGGTCCAGGACTGCACCGTGGGTTTGGGTGTGGACTCCCTCCAAGGAGCTCTGGGGGTGGCTGTTTGTTGGGGGCCCCGATTTTGTCTGGAAGGCCATGTCTTATGGGTACTGCTCTCCTATTTTCGTCATATGATGAAGCTTGACTACATATGGTTTCAGAAATAAAATAACTCTAATAGCTACCACTTATTGAGTGCTCACAGTGTTCCAGGAAGCAGCATGTAATGTTCACAGATGACCTCACTAATCCTCACAGGAATCTTATGAGTTAATAATATACTATTATCTCCATTTTCAAGGTGAAGAAAACAGACTTTGGAGAGGTAAAGTAGTTTGACTAAAAACAGCCAGGAAGTGGCGGAACTCAGACTCAAACCCAGATTTCTGTGACTCAGGGAGGGGGCTCCCTCACTGCGCCACGTGCAAGGCCCCGAGTCTGCCAGCAGTTTGCCCAGAATTCTGGGGGATGCCCTAGGGGAACTGAGTCTGAGGCTCTCCGGCCTGGGAGGCCTCCCTGCTGACGTCTGCCTGCATCTTTTGTAGATGCGTTCAGGAGGGCATTGCTCCACCTTTGAGCCCTGGCCCTAGTCCTCTATATTTTTCTGGAAGAAGAAAGTTGGCAGGGCCCTCCCTTCCCTTCCTCAACTCCCCCTGACATGCAGTGTTATAATTCGCCCATTTTCACAGGGCATTACAGCAGCCAAACGGACCACCCCAGCTGCATGACAGCCATGACACTTACTTTAACTGGCCCAAGGACTAAAGGGAAATAATAATAAAAGAAATGCCGTACATTGATGGTTTTCTCTGTTGGTCAATAGTGTTACTACCTGGCGAGGTAGTGATACCGCCAAAGCATCCCATATACACTAGGGGACCAGGCCCCAGCATAACACCGCTGCAAGGCAGGAACCTAACCTTCTCCCAGCCTTGCTCTTTCAGATGTTTCAGCAGAAGTCCCTCTATCTCCTCTCTTTGGCTTTATCTATTGCTCAAAGGCAAATGTTTCTACTTGGCTGCTTGTGAAATATGATCAATTTTTGGTGCCTAAATCCAAGGTGATCAATGATGCACCTTGATAAATAGAATCATACGTTTTGTGGAGCCCAAGGGAGTGTGGTTTATCTCTGCTTTTGTCCATCCCTCATGCACCTTCGTCCAGAGAATTATTTAATTTCCTTGATATATCATCAAAATCTGCAGTGGCCTCTGTTTCCTCCTTGTGCTGAAAACTGAACAATGATCCATTCAATGAGCTATCACCTAGGTTTCTGATTTTTTCCAGTAGACATACATGTAATCACTCTTTAATTGGCATTTACTTGACAGACATTACTCATTACTGTAGTAAATTTATCTGATTTCCTAATGAGACATAGTATCCCTTCATATACTTCTCAATTCTGTTGGTACCTCCACTTTTGAAAATTGCCTTTTCAAGTTCTTTGCCCTTTTATCTATATTTCTCCTGTTGCTTTTCAGAAGTTCTGCCTTGGTTTTAGAATGATCATAGACCCCTGCTGGTTTTGGACATCACAACAGTCTTTGCCAATCCTTTGTGTATCTGGTAAAGGTATTACTGGCATTCTTTGTTGAATAGAAATCCATAATTTTGATATAATCAAGTTCATCAATATTTTTTATTCTTTTGAAGTTTTGAAAAAAATCCTTCCCCACCCCTATGTGATTATTCTCCTATCATTTTTTCTATTATCTTTATAACACTAGGTAGGAATCCAGTTTTACTTTCCTCTATAAAGTGAGCAAGTTTCCCCCAATCCTTCCTATTAAAAGACCAGTTATAAGTTCAATGGATTTCTTGCAAATCAGAGACTGGTATGAAATAAAACAGAATCTAAGAGAACTAAAAAATAGGGTGGTATGAATGGAAAAGAGAAATCTGAGTCTTAATCTTATAAAACTCTAACTCCTCCCCACAGAATACAAAATTTCTCCAAATGTATCATCCGCTCTTATCTTCCAACTGGTGATTCCCCCTTTCAGTGTCTGGAGTGTGTAAACTCGTGACACGGCTCTATGCAAAAACCCGCTAAAAATAGGCCTGTCTGTGAGCAGGCTGAGCCTAAGCTGCAAGAGTAAAGCCTGATACACAAGGAGCTCTTGCTAAAGAAGAGCCAGCAATCGTGGTACAGGGATAGTTCAGGGCCCTTCGCCACTCAAAAGAAGGCCAGATGGACTCCAGACAGGTGGAGCCCGCCCGCAGACTGTACTCGGGGCCCCGGATCAGCAGCGGTGGAGGAGGTACAGCAGGAGGCCAGGACACTCATTGCTGCTGCCTGAGAGCCGTCCGGGCCCCGGGGCTTGCCCGCAGCCTGGTCCTTCACTCTCCTGTACCAGGCTGTGCTCAAACGTGGGTGGGTGTTGGGTGTTTGCTGCCATGCTTGGGACGCTCGCAGATGGTTTCAGAAGAGAACTGATCTCATCTTCTCTTTATTCCTTAAGAAATGAAACTTTCTGAAATTGGAAGCATCCTTGATATTAATTAATAATAGACTCATTATTTATCACATGGTCATTGGACCCTACAGATTCTAAAGGGAAAAACAATTTTCAAGATTAGAAAACACTTTCCAACAAAAGATCAGATAGATTTTTTCCCCAGTGAAAATGGATTTTGATTACTGTTATCACTGAACAATGCGAGAACACAGGTGGGTTCCTGAATGACCCAGGCGCCTCTCCTCAAGTCTGCTCCTCCTGGCCAGGATTCGGAGGCTCTGTGCCCCTGCTGCCCCGCCAGGGAAGAAGGTCCAGGGCCGGCTGGGGAGAGCCGGTGAGATAACGCAGTTCTCGCAGCGACAGTGCCTGCAGGGCAGATCCTCTCCCCACCCAGGGGCAGCCACGCCCCTTCTGCTGGGGTGTAAGCTCCGCCCACTGTCTCGTTCAACCTGCCGATCCCTAGTGCTACGGGCAGTGCCTAATACGTCTCAAAAAGAAATTGATGAATGAATGCTTGAAAGAAAGAATGAATGGATTAACCACAGTAGCTCTAGATCCAAAGTTAGGAAACCTAAAATTTCAATCAAATATGACCACGACCTCAGCTGCATGGTTTCAGCCAAGTTATCTGAACACTCTGGACTTCACCTTGCTCAGCTCTAACATGGGTGGTTAGACTAAGTGACTAAGGGTCCTCTCAATGCTGTTCCAGTGAATTTCTCAAGATCCTATATATGGGAGGAGAAGGAAGAGACGGTTATGATGAACATTGAGAAAATGGAGCCAAATGGCAGAAAGAGATAAAAAGAGGAAAGAGGTGGGGAAGGGCAGAATTAATGCCTACTGGGTACTTGGGTGTGCTGAGTGTTCTCACACATCTCTTCAATCAGTTTTCACAAGCTACTACCGCTCGTTGCATGGGAGGAAATAGAGAAGTTAAATAACTTGCTGAACAGTTAAAATTTCAATCTGGGATTTGAACTCAGGTCTGTTAGGTGCATTGCCGATTCTACGATTCCACACTGCATCCAAAAACAATTAACTAGAACAACAGATTAGCAGTTAACTATGCGGCCACTCAACCAGCCCCACTGACAACCTGGGAAGGTAGTGAGGAACCTTGGGAAGCCGACATGTATCGGACACCTGTTATGTGCAAGTGTCACACACACATGTTCACACAAGCCTCATAACAAACTATGTCGTGTCGCTGTGTCCATTTTACGGAATAGGAAACTGGGATTCAGGGGAGCAAAATAGTGTGTTCATGTCACAGAGCTGATGACCAGCAGAACTGGGATTCAGACTCGGGCCTGCATGTGAACCGTGAGGCAAACACATCGTTTTCCTGAAGGACAGCCAGCCGTTCTGTCTCTACAAACGGCTCCCGTGCGGCTGCGCCTCGTCTCATGATCCCTCCCTCCAAGGGAACAACTTGGATGTGACACAGGGCTGCACTGCATCATTAGTCAAAGCTGCTTCGGGTGCCTGAAACGAGTCTGTGGATCCAGGGCAAGACCCTGAACTGCTCCTTCTCCGTGCACATGAGAAGGGTTTCGGCGCATCGCTGCATCCCCCGACCCCCAGGGTCACATTAAATGTGTGTGCTGCGCATGAATTCAACTA